ATATGTGTGACTTTGAAACTAAATAATTAAATAAATGTATTTATAATTAAAATTGAAAAAAAAAAAATGAAAAACACAAAGAGGACTACAAATGCGCCTAGGCCTTATAACTAAGAGCTGTTGATGTTTATAGGGCTTAATTCTAATTAAAATAAACTCGGGGGAATGTTTTTTTTTCTCTTTTTGTCTTCCTTTTGTATGTTTATTTAGAGCAGCCACTGTAGCACGCACGCACGCACACACACACACACAGCTGATGCATTGCTCTCCGTCCCCACGCTCGTGTGCGTGGTGTATGCGTGTGTCGCTGTGTGTGTGTGTATATGTGCAAAAGGGATAGCAAGCTTGTACTTATCGTTAGCTTAAGTCTATGGCAATTTGATTAATTTTTAGTCAAAACTATTTAATTTTTGCACCGTGTTAAAAAAAATTTAAAAAAAAAAATAAAATTGCTGACAATAAATGGAAAAATATGAATTAAATAAAACAAACAACTTAGCACAGCAAAAAAACTATAGAAGAAATGAAAGAAAAAATCTGTCAAATATATTTGCTGTCTGCCTCACTCTCGTGGCACACGCGTTTGTGTTTGTGTGCGTAAATAAATTGTGAATCTAAATGTAAACTATTTTTGTTAGCTTCTTAAGGGGGAAACTATGTTTTAAATAATTACCCAATATCCAATATGATATATCTAAGCATTGAATAGCTACGACTACGTATGTACATACATATATAAGTGAATGTCATAACAAACAACTACAACAACAAATTGTGGGTGTGAAGGGAAGCAGCGTGCATGCAGCTGACAGACAATCAAAGCTCAAATACACTTAAAAAGGGAAAAGTTTAAAAAAAATAAATATTTAACAAAAATATAAAAAAAAAAATGAATCTTAATGAATGTTTAGCAAATTTCAATTGATGTATGTATTTATCTCAAAATTGTAACTAAGCTGTTCGCGTGCACACGCTGCCGGATCCAATGGGAATTCATGAAAAATAGTATAAATATTAATGCAATATACCGAGAACTGTCATTAAACCAATAAGAAACACATAAGCCACATAGCATATACAAAACACACGCAAAATAATAGATTAAGCTAAGCGAATTGTACAATATTTATTAAAGACAACAACAACAACAAGAACAAGAGCAGCAGGCAAAAGGAGAAGGATGAAAGCGTTAAGAAACCATAAAATAAAATAAAAATAT